TGCGTTGAATCCCTTCTCCTCTACCGTTATTGAGCAATGTACTGTAGTACAAGTATTTCTTTATGTCAGACACTTTTGAAGAGATAAAAATTTCAATCTTGCTGTCACATTTTAATAATCTTAAAGCTCATTCTACGTAGATCGACCCAACTCCACTGGAATGTTGCTGAATGCAATCAGTTTCACGGCTTATGTTAGTAATTGACAGCTATGAGTGAATAAGGAGCGGAAAGCGGGCGAAGTAGAACGGGTATTCTTATGAACAGAATTGTGATTCATCATCTGAAATAATTTAGATAGTAAGTTCAGGCACCCTAAACCAAAACCATTATCAAACTGTAATAATAGGTATTGCCTGAGATTAAAATGGATGTTATGTAAGTGTGGTATCGTGTTAAAGAATTTTTTAAAAATCTCGTTATGACGGATATTTAAATTGAAGAGTAAACAAACTATGAAATATTCATTAACTCCTCTGCTAGCCTAGAAGAGTAAACTATTTTATCAATATTAATTAGTGAAGTAGTCTTGTTCAAGTCAACATCAAAATAGTTTGTCACGAATCTTCAACAGGTGAGGTAGGCCTATATCAGTAGCTGGCATCTCTTCAAACTTTCCACCTGTAAGATCTTTAAAATCAATAGAAGTAAATGATGTAAACAAAAAGTGAATTTACTCAACGAACATATGACCTACACGTATCAAAAGATGAATAGTGTTTATATTCGTTTAAAGTATCAGGTATCAAGAAATATCTACATGAGTAGTCACATACAAGGTATATATATATATATATTCACCGAATGAATTTAGCATACGGTTTTATGTATAGGTAGCACAGTTGACAAGTCTACAACTAGTTCACATTATTTCCTATAATAAATCAATACTTCCCTTTGTCTTACGTGTCTTACGAATGCAGATTCCTATCAGCCATGACCGGAGGAAAAAAACGCGACTGCTGAACTCCCATTGTATCATTCTGGAAAAGACTTAACGTGCATGTTTAAAAACAAATGTCAGTAACAGTGAAATTTGACAGCATCTTTTAAATTTTCCACAACGGTTTAATGACGTCATAAGCACGATGGAATCTACATGCAAATCTTATTTCTATCCAATTAAAATAATACTTTGTCACGTTTGCTACACGCTCACCGGTCTCCGCTTATACTCTTCGGCCTCCCTACCTCGCCAGGGGCGCAACCTCGGTCGAGTACCTTTCTAACTAGCTCACTTAATTAAGCCCCCTTTACACCGGACGGCGTCCTTTCTGCGTCCCGCAGTACAGTCCCGTCTGAGAATAATATATATATATATATATATATATATATATATATATATATATATATATATATATATATATAAATATATATATATATATTTATATCGATGCCTGTGCCTCCATTCTTCGACCACAGCCAGTTTCTCTACAGCGCACAGGTCGACCCCTGGGTGTCTCTCCTTGATGTGGAGTAGACTAAGTTTGATTTTATTTAATAATAATAATAATAATAATAATAATAATAATAATAATAAAACAATTCTGACTACTAAAGTGTGTGTGTGTGTGTGGGGGGGGGGGGTGATGAGCGTGAGGAGGGGGGGGAAGGAGCCCCTGGGGTCTCCTTTTGTTTTTTGAAGTATAAATTTAATTTTATTGAATTTTTCAAAAACGATTCTGATGCCCAGAGTTTTTAAGGATTCTGGCAACCAGAAACCAGTGTCATTTTTCAAAAACACGAATCTTGAAACCAGGAACTAGTGTCGTTTTTCAAAAACGTTTCAGAAAAGCCAGAATCGTTTTTGCGGAGGGAAACCGGAGTGGACTATGAGAGGCAAATGGCGATAAGCGTCTACTGCAATGTGACCTTCACCGCGGAAACCGGGCAGTGTGTTACGGTCTCTCCTCGCCTTGCGCTCAGACCCGAGACGTCCGCCTAACGATGTCTAACTACGGCGCAGAGGTACATGTAGCTTGCACCGCGGAAGTTGGGCTCAATATAACGGTCTCCACCCGCCGCGCAGTAAGGCCAAAACGACTGCAAATCAGTGTCTACAGCGCACAGGTAGCCCACACCGGCGGAAGAACACGGTCTCTCTCGAGTAGATATTTATATTGTTTTCACTGCTTTAATTTTCATTAAACCGCAAGTAAGGAGAAAAATTGATACGTCGTATTCACCGATGAGATGATCTGTGCTTCGGGATTAGCAATCTTAAGCTTAGATTCCATTTGTCATGCGATGTCCGTACGGTGCACATATGTACTGCCAGTAAATACCTTTTCGCACAGCGTCTGAGAGGATGTGACGACCCGATATGTCCGACAGGTCAGTTATGTCCTACGACCAGAGAACAGGCCAGATATGTCCGACAAAAAAGAGCCAGATGTGTACGACAGGCCAGATATGTCGGACACAACGTACTGGCTCTTTTTTGTCGGACATATCTGGCCTTCTCTGGTCGTAGGACATATCTGGCCTGTCGGACATATCGGGGAGGTAGACGTGTGAAATTGTACGGAATCTTACGGATTTAAGGACCTCGTAGCCTCTACGGTTTTGTCAAGTGAAACTTTTGACAAACTTTTAAAATCGCAATCCCGTAGAAAGTAGCAATATTGAGATGACATTGCTTGATTCCCGCAAGGACATTGTGCGGTAGACTTGCGGTGATTGTGCAACAATGCAAGGCCATCTTGCAACACGGAGTTGTCAAAATTGATTACCCTAGATTACATTTGCTAAGGGCGCCACAACATAAAATCGTATACGATTTCCCGTACGATTTTTGTTTTGACATCATAAGCAGCTACGGGCGTTGGAGAATACGTTTATATTATGTGCAAGTGCCCTGCCATTTCTCTGACATTACCTTAAGGTCACGTAAAAAATAGGTTTTTCGGTTGAAAAGTGATCGTACGGAGCCCCTTCAATCTTAGTGTCTACTGTGCTGCTTCATTCAAGATTCACACGTTGTGGGTGCACCTTCCAACGACTTATCTCACCCTTGTGGCCAGAATAAGAAAAATCGCAATTTATGCAAGCGAAATACAGCAAGGAGTTGTACAACTCCTTGATTACATTAACTTTTAAACATATTAATTATGCTTATGCCTCCTTAACCACCAAAGAATTAAGAGAAAGAGACCAACAAACGGGTTCAGCCATTTTCACGATCACCGCATAGCCTGGGTAACTTTTATATAAGTTTCCTCCTACCTTGTGTTTCTTTCATTTGTCCCGTTGCCATCCCCTTTTTAGATATAATACATTGTACGCTCGTCTCTGGATGTCTGTCTGGTGACTTTATCTGACATTATTTATATCAAATGTCTTGTTTTCCTTTCGCAATCCTGCACCATTTATGTGAAGAAGTTGTTTTCTTTATCTTCTGTAGTACATACAACTCTTTTATATTCTTTCGTGTTATGTATTAACTACTTTCCAGTAGGTTCCTGCGCCGCTTTCTTTTCGTTTGTATCTCTACCTCATGCAATCTTCAGCGGCCTTCTCTCCGTTTACATTATACGCAGTTGTATAAGTATAATAAGAAAACGTCAATCAACCCAGTTACTGTACAAAACACTCCCGCTCCTTATTCGCTCGTGGCTGTCAAATTATTAACGTTACATTTCGATGAGAATGAAACCTTATTACCTGTATTTCTTTCGGAGCATAAAAAACTTCCATCCATGGGTTTGAAGGCTGAATAAAAAAGGGGCGTGCAGTTACGCAATTGTTCGATCTTTTAAAAGGTAGCTTGCTTCTCCATTCCGCTATTCATATCTGTTGACTTCAATTGTTACCCCCGGCAAGTAGGTTATGTTGTCATCTCCGTTTGTTTATTTATCTGTTTCTACCAGCCTAACTCAAAGAGATATGGATGGGATTTGACGAAACTTTCAGGATAGGTTAGACATAGGCTAATTTAAGGTGACTGATAATTATCAGTTATTTATTAGTTAACTTGTTGTCTGTCTGTCTGTTATCAACATTATGCGAAAAGTTGTTGAAGGATTTTGCTGATACACCCTTAACTATCTTGATTGAGCCTAGTAGCAAACGTTTGGGGTTTTGGAGATGATCCATCAATTGATAAATTGGTTTATTAAAATGTATGTTTGTCTTTTAGCTACATTCTACAAAAAGTTATGGAGGGATTCTGAAGAAACTTTTAGTATATGTCGGAATTGGGCTATATTAGGGTGATGAATAAGTAATTCATTAATAAGTGAGATAATAAATCAGTCAATTTTAATTAATTAATTAATTAAAGTTGTCCAATCAATTAATCAGTAAATGAATTATCTTTTCAGTTCAGTTCCAACGACAAGCTACGTGTGAATTCGATGTCTAATGCCAACTAATTATGCAGTTGCAAAGTAAAATACTAACAATACACGGAACAATCATTCAGTGATGGTAACAAGAGGTCCGGACTGGGCAGATCATGTTCTTGTTAGGAGCTATATGTATAGTTTCGGTTTGCTAAGTGTGAGATAAAGGCATTGAAGATAACGACTGAATTAATGCCTGGATCCCATGTACCGGTACACACCATTGGCTGCGCCTCAAGTAATACGGAACGTTCTTCCATTAGATCAGTGTGGCCTAATCATTTATCATTTTGTACCACTTTTGTGGAGAGTTGATGTTATTGGATTTGATCAACACCCATCTCAATCTTTGTGAAGACTCGAGGAATGTAGAATACGGTGTGGGAATTACTTACATGACGTGTTTACACAAATATGAACGCTATTTTGCACAAAATATATTTTCTGACGTCGACATACAATAGTCTATACCTCAAAAATTATTTGATAATATACATGTAAATTATGACAACTGATGGGCAAACGGTGATTTATTTAAAACAACATTCGATAGTACAGTACAAGTATATGTGAGGGTAGGTTAATGTATGGCAAGGGAAATTTTATGAGGAATGTTTTATAAATTGAAACAACTACAATACAAGTGCTGTCACTACAAATGCGTGAAATATCAACGCGTGAACGGGCACTCACAGTTTATCGCTAAGTTAAAGATTACCTATTTGTACATTTAGCAGTAGAATGTAATCTTAACTTAAAAATAAAAATGTCATACAGTACCTTTGGTGTATTTACTGTCTCATAGTCCTGTGATATTATCAGATCTGTCAGAACCTGATACCACGCATTATTAAATCTCGCGATTTATTAACCGCATGTCTAAGAATGAGTCAAAGATGAATCCAATATGAATGTTTGTTGAACAGTTCCATGATCTATGTGTGTATGACAAACAAATACAGTTGCATTTGTCTTTTGGAGTCTGACTGTCAGCAGACGAAATATTGGCTAGTTAATCTCAGTTAATTTTTTTCTATAGCTGTTGGTAAATGAAACTCTGTGTGTTAAATATTAGAATATGGAATAAACGAACAACAGCGTATTGTAAAAGAGCTGAACTCCACTTCTGTACTGACAGGTATGATGAATGGTCGCAAAGTTAATATTGTCAGCTCTGGGTCTGGTCATAGTAATACTATACATGTAGATCGGCGAGTTTTTCTGGAAAGATAAAACGAAAAAATAATATAGTTTTGGTAGCTTGAATATTCGTCCAAACATACGTGAATTGTTAATAGAACCATTTTCACGAGTATGACGCTGTAAATAAGTATTGGTGAATAACATGTAATATTATAAGACAATGAATGCGATATTTCTACCAACAAGTTCGTTTATTTTCACTTTTTTAAAATTTTCCATAGTGGTGGTGGTGGTGGCATGGTGCTAGTTACGGTTGTGTTAGGTATGATTGTGTTAGGTGTGACACGTGTGCTTCCTCAGATCGTAGGTATGCGCCTGTCATTGTGTTAGATGTGCTTGCGCCTGATGTGATTGCATCGTAAATTGCCACACAATCACAACCGCCCACGTGCACCAACCTGCTGCCTGTCTGTGATTCAAGTTCTCCAAATGTTTCTGTAAACCCTCCAATGTCGCTCCACCGGATTCTCTCCACATCATCAACGCCTTGAAGCATTTCTCGTCGTCGTTCAGCGGAGAGTTGGCGATTTTCTCCACTTCGCCGAACGGGACGCTGAGCTCTAGGGCCACGTCCCGCCACCCGGCCACCACCGCAGTATTACGTATCAAAACGTTGAACGCTTTCACCAGGTTTAGATCTAGGGATGAGAGAGAGTGCTGGCGGTTACTCAGATTGCAGTTTGGACTTAAATGTAATAGTCAGAATAAGGTAATTGACGTCAACTGTTACACTCAAAGAGATTGGCATTTTGCGCCTATCCGTAACAAAAGGTTTTATGGCTGTTAAAGCTGTGTGTATTGTTTTGTTTTAATAAACTTCACATTTATCATTTCTGCAGGTTAATTACATACATTTTCATGTACTTCGGTCCTAACACAAGAAAACATGCCAAGTTATACATACCTTGTACTTTACACAGCATGTGAGCTTTGAACTCTTGGACCTTCTTCCGGACCAAAGCCTCGAGATCAGGTCGGCCTATCTTAGTGCACATCTTTTGCAAGGCAGCTGCCTGTACGGGTGAAGCATAAAATAGTCGGAAAATAATTGGAATGCAGCATAAATTCCATTTGCGTGAATGGGGAGAAAATAGGTGGGTTAAACATATATTACGGTTTTTTGAAAATGAAACTTTGGAGTTCACTGTCAACAACTTTACGGTGTGGACAACTGACATTTTGGTGACTTTTTTACCGAGTTACTTTCCTATGGAAACCGTTTTGTGCCAATGAAACAAGGGCAAGAACACAACGATACAAACCTTATCAACTGAAATCGCTACGCTCTGGGACCATCTCCGCAATACCACCACTGCCCGCGAGGTGTCGTCAGGGTCGGCTTTCGCTATCTGGGCAACTCTGTGCGAAGATAAACCCAGCTCTTTGCCCAACTTCTCCCAGTCACTACCGAGCATCGGGGCCAGCTCCAAGAGGAATTCGTCTGTGATTGCATCTAGAACACGAAGATGGCGCATGCTCATTTAAACACCATTCCCAGCAAATACAGAACGTTATTATATAGCGTTACCATAACGTTTGTATAAAATAGCGTTATGGTAACGTTATAATAACGTTCTGTGTTTGCTGGGACTATAAGTGTATTTGATTTAAATTTATTTAGTCTTCCGGGTTTACCTTTATTGTTACAATATTTATATTTAAAGGAGGCGACCAACCAAAATATGATTTTCCATTATCAAAGCAGATATTATCTACGAGGAAAATTTTTGAGTGTGTAAGCCTTCTCTAAACCGCCGTATAGAGCATTTTCTACCGTGAAGGCGAGGATCTACCCTGAGCGTCAGAGCAACGTAAAAGCTAGCTTGCTAAATATACCTTGTGGTGGAGTCGCTTTTACTAACTCTGAAGACCATGAAAGTTTTCCATCAATCAAATAGAACTGCTCCGCAGTGAAAATGCAGTTGAATGTCATCAGACCAAAATAAAACGTAAAACAAATTTAATTCTGCTTTATTTAATTTTATTTGCTGTATTTAAGATGTAAAGTGAAAAAATAAATAATATTCTTCGGAAAGAAAAGATATATCCAATGTTTTTGTATTTTTTGCTTATCAAAGAACATTTAATCCTGAGATATACACGTGCGCAATACATGTGCTTGCCGTGTGCCAAATTTGACAGCTACACTGTATGCCCGATACCACTACAAGGGCTGCGCAATGGCTACACGAAAATAAGTTTTTACAGCAGAATGTTGTTTGTATTGTGGCACTGACCTTCGACTGCAAGATATTTTCATTTCAAACATCTAACTCCGCGTCAGGCACTTTAATTGCTTCTTGTCTCGCCTGCACGAGACCTCCGCGCAAGGCGGGAAAGGCAGCTCCAGGCGGCCAAACCTGTGACGTACGAGACTTATGACTTCCAAATATGGATCCAGGCGGACACAGCTGTGACGTGTGACTTCCAAATATGGAAGCGCCCCAGGCAGAATTTTGAAGAAGAACGCCCCCGAGTTGCCACTGTTCGCTAGAGTCTGGTATTGCTACTATGGGTTATATATGAAATCAAGATCGAGCTGGCAATACCGGAATCTATAACCTAGGGTACGAGGATCGAGCTACTAATTTTCTTCTCTTCTGAAGATTGTAATACATGAACAGTTCTAGACATCCATACTACGTGGAGTGGTGAATTACACATGAACAGCGACAAAACACCGAGCTAACTGTAGGGTACAGGTATGCACACGCTGGCCTATGTAGATACCGGTATGGATGTTTGCTTTATTCTGAATTGTGTGCAGAGGCGCATGCTTTAAAGAACAACATTATTTTTCTTCCTCACAATATCGCCAAATTAAGCAGTCAAAATGAAATTGGAGAGGTAAACATATATTGGTATATACACAGCTAATATGTTTGCCCAAAAAGCCATGACTGATCTGAAATCTAAGGTGTTAAATCTCTCCATATACATAAGCCAGCCAATTGCCACATGCGAAAGTGTGCTTACATGCAAAGAAGTAAGTGGAAAATAACGTCGCACCTCAGGCACGCTGCATGCATGTATGAAAGTTCTTGCAAATATAAGCAAAAAAAAAGTTTGATAAAAAATGCCGGCCCGACTGATTTACAATATCGCGATGCGGTGGCCATGGTACAAGGGGTAGAGGGGGTGGAAGGGGGGTTACAATACCTCATCCATTTATCCATTACCTTAAATTTCTTTGACATTCAATTGCTACATGTGTCCATCTCCCTTTTCGGAAAGAGTGGGACGGGACGGAGGGGTGGGGGCTGAATTAACGAAAATTAATTTGTGTAATTTTAATGAAGATAGATATCTTAAGATACTTTATTACGCAGACGTACGTAAACTGCTGCAATACAAATGCCATGCTGTATTTTAAGGATATCAGCATACATTAATGAACAAGCACATATGAACACAGTAAGGCATGCGGCCAGAACACATCCACTTGTAAACGTGCAATATTCGTGAAATTTCACTCACCGTTGCGCACTTTGATAAATAAAATTGATTAAATCATAAAAATTATGTAGCCTAACATGTGTTCCTTTTGTAAATGAAGTTACATGTAACTTTGATATATGCCAATTTTCTGAGGACATGAGTGTTTTCTTGGTTCCGCATATCACAGACGAACGCAATGTTTTCGACTAATCAGTATAATTCTTTCATTCCGATATTGTTGGTTGGTTAACTTTTTATTAGGTATTTTAATCCGGTTTGACGACACACAGTCCTCTAAACTACGAGGAAGATTCTACAAACACAAACAAAACTTACTTTAAATCGCTACTGACTGCAAGATCGCAATCACTTTGCAATTAAAAGCAAATAAAATTATTTGCTCTACAAACGCTATAGGCCTAATGGTACTACAGTGCCGCCGGAATCTNGTGCACATCTTTTGCAAGGCAGCTGCCTGTACGGGTGAAGCATAAAATAGTCGGAAAATAATTGGAATGCAGCATAAATTCCATTTGCGTGAATGGGGAGAAAATAGGTGGTTTTTTTTTTTAAAATGAAACTTTGGAGTTCACTGTCAACAACTTTACGGTGTGGACAACTGACATTTTTGGTGAAAAATTTTTTACCGAGTTACGTTCCTATGGAAACCGTTCTGTGCCAATGAAACAAGGGCAAGAACACCGCGATACAAACCTTATCAACTGAAATCGCTACGCTCTGGGACCATCTCCGCAATACCACCACTGCCCGCGATGTGTCGTCAGGGTCGGCTTTCGCTATCTGGGCAACTCTGTGCGAAGATAAACCCAGCTCTTTGCCCAACTTCTCCCAGTCACTACCGAGCATCGGGGCCAGCTCCAAGAGGAATTCGTCTGTGATTGCATCTAGAACACGAATATATATGAAATACCTCTGTTCAGAGAATCGTGTTAATTGGATTTATTCCAAATAAATAAATAAATAAATAGAACAGCTTTGTAATATTTGCTTCAGTAATGCCCCAGAACTCATTTCGATTTGAAATGCCTATTCTTTTCACAAAATACATCCCATACTCCATGTCCATTTAAACACCATTCCCAGCAAATACGTTATTATATAGCGTTACCAGAACGGTTTGTATAAAAAAAAGCTTTATGGTAACGTTATGGTAACGTTATAATAACGTTCTGTGTTTGCTGGGACTATAAGTGTATTTAATTTAAATTTATTTAGTCTTCCAGGTTTACCTTTATTGTTACAATATTTATATTTAAAGGAGGCGACCAACCAAAATATGATTTTCCATTATCAAAGCAGATATTATCTACGAGGAAAATTTTTGAGTGTGTAAGCCTTCTCTAAACCGCCGTATAGAGCATTTTCTACCGTGAAGGCGAGGATCTACCCTGAGCGTCAGAGCAACGTAAAAGCTAGCTGGCTAAATATACCTTGTGGCAGAGTCGCTTTTACTAACTCTGAAGACCAGCGGCCATGAAAGTTTTCCATCAATCAAATAGAACTGCTCCGCAGTGAAAATGCAGTTGAATGTCATCAGACCAAAATAAAACGTAAAACAAATTTAATTCTGCTTTATTTAATTTTATTTGCTGTATTTAAGATGTAAAGTGAAAAAATAAATAATATTCTTCGGAAAGAAAAGATATATCCAATGTTTTTGTATTTTTTGCTTATCAAAGAACATTTAGTCCTGAGATATACACGTGCGCAATACATGTGCTTGCCGTGTGCCAAATTTGACAGCTACACTGTATGCCCGATACCACTACAAGGGCTGCGCAATGGCTACACGAAAATAAGTTTTTACAGCAGAATGTTGCTTGTATTGTGGCACTGACCTTCGACTGCAAGATATTTTCATTTCAAACATCTAACTCCGTGTCAGGCACTTTAATTGCTTCTTGTCTCGCCTGCACGAGACCTCCGCGCAAGGCGGGAAAGGCAGCTCCAGGCGGCCAAACCTGTGACGTACGAGACTTATGACTTCCAAATATGGATCCAGGCGGACACAGCTGTGACGTGTGACTTCCAAATATGGAAGCGCCCCAGGCAGAATTTTGAAGAAGAACGCCCCCGAGTTGCCTCTGTTCGCTAGAGTCTGGTATTGCTACTATGGGTTATATATGAGATCAAGATCGAGCTGGCAATACCGGAATCTAGAACCTAGGGTACGAGGATCGAGCTATTAATTTTCTTCTCTTCTGTCATAAGCAGTGAAGATTGTAAAACATGAACAGTTCTAGACATCCATATTACGTGGAGTGGTGAATTACACATGAACAGCGACAAAACACCGAGCTAACAGTAGGGTACAGGTATGTACATGCTGGCCTATGTAGATACCGGTATGGATGTTTGCTTTATTCTGAATTGTGTGCAGAGGCGAATGCTTTAAAGAACAACATTATTTTTCTTCCTCACAATATCGCCAAATTAAGCAGTCAAAATGAAATTGGAGAGGTAAACATATATTGGTACATACACAGCTAATATGTTTGCCCAAAAAGCCATGACTGATCTGAAATCTAAGGTGTTAAATCTCTCCATATACATAAGCCAGCCAATTGCCACATGCAAAAGTGTGCTTACATGCAAAGAAGTAAGTGGAAAATAACGTCGCACCTCAGGCACGCTGCATGCATGTATGAAAGTTCTTGCAAATATAAGCAAAAAAAGTTTGATAAAAAAATGCCGGCCCGACTGATTTACAATATCGCGATGCGGTGGCCATGATACAAGGGGTAGAGGGGGTGGAAGGGGGGTTACAATACCTCATCCATTTATCCATTACCTTTATTCTCTTATCTCCCTTTTCGGAAAGAGTGGGACGGGACGGAGGGGTGGGGGGAGGAATTAACGAGAAATTAATTTGTGTAATTTTAATGAAGATAGATATCTTGATGATACTTTATTATGCAGACGTACGTAAACTGCTGCAATACAAATGCCATGCTGTATTTTAAGGGTTATCAGCATACATTAATGAACAAGCACACATGAACACAGTAATACCCCCTTTACACTGGACGGTGTCCTTTCTGCGTCCTTTCTGCGACCATTAAATTTGACATCGGTGTGGTCTTAATAAGGAGGCACGAGCATTGATTTTGTATCAGAATGAATGCTCAATGATCGGTCAGTTGTCGGCACGTAAAGTATTATAATTTTTGAACTCTCAAATAGGGCCGTACTGCTGGACGCAGAAAGGACGCCGTCCAGTGTAAAGGGGGCCTAAGGCATGCGGCCAGAACACATCGACTTGTAAACGTGCAATATTCGTGAAATTTCACTCACCGTTGCGCACTTTGATAGAGTGAATGATTAAATACAATTGATTAAATCATAAAAATTATGTAGCCTAACACGTGTTCCTTTTGTAAATGAAGTTACATGTAACTTTCATATATGCCGAACGCAATGTTTTCGACTAATCAGTATAATTCTTTCATTCCGATATTGTTGGTTGGTTAACTTTTTATTAGGGATTTTAATCCGGTTTGACAACACACAGTCCTCTAAACTACGAGGAAGATTCTACAAACACAAACAAACTTATTTTAAATCGCTACTGACTGCAAGATCGCAATCACTATGCAATTAAAAGCAAATAAAATTATTTGCTCTACAAACGCTATAATGGTACTATATAATAGAGGAATAAAAATAATGAAGGATTCGTAGCAATACTCAAAACGTAGGCAACTTACTTTCCCGTTTGTTTGACAGACCCCTCTTTGCCTACAAAAGGAGAGAGACGATTTATTTCAAATGTGAAAGCAACGTATGCACACGTTGAATATCATATTCATAGACGTTAAAGTGAAGTCACGACTCATCAATGCTGCGCTGATATAACTTCAGTAAGCCACCAAGAGTATTCTATCTGTAGGTGATAATTTGGTGTTGTTTTTAACAGGATATACTCTATGTTGACAGCATTTAAGGATACACGTGACCAGTATTGATTTGCAATACGATATAATTTAGTTCTGAAAAACTTAATCACACTCAAGTACTTACCCAAATGTTTTTAGTCTTCCTTAATCTGAACCACAATTTCTCCCTAAAATACAAACACAGCACAAGTTATGTTAGATGTTTTGTTCTTTAATAAAAGACCGTGCATGGCTGTCTATGATCCATCCACTGATACATTTACTTGTATCGAATCTAATGGAGAGCAGAATCTTTGCCATATGGGCAGTCAATTTGTCCACTTCGGCATTTCCGCTGTGAAAACGATTCAGCACTAGTACTTGGCGCAGAGCTAATTCTTTAATTTTTTAGTTATAAGAGTCCACTGTATTTTCTACTCACTCTGGCGTTGGTAACCGTAGCAAGCAGCGTATGGACGGCATATCTGGCGTCACTGCATGACTGATGGCGGAGTCGTACCAATGGCTGTCACCATACTTTGTTGTCACCCGGATCTCTTCGTCCTCTGCAATTTAAAAAAAAAAACTCGACGATATATGAAATCTTGATCAGCCTTGTAAACTTGCAAAATATGTAACAAACCAAAAAATAACGTGTGACATAGAATTTTTTGCCAGTTTAAAGACATGAGAGCAACGTATACGTATACAGCAACATCGATATCACGATGAACAGACAGTTAAAGTTAGAAACAAAACTGACTTGCAGAGTAGACAGTTTAGACAAAAAATATTGTATACACTAGTATTCTGGCATACGGAATATAATAATGACAATTTGAAACTGTTCAAATTAAATTGCTGACAAAGTCAAATGAAATGAAATTTAGATCACATTAGTGACAAGGGATAACCAACTTAAATATAAAAATGCAGCTATAACACCATGTGCTTTAATAAAGGACGTCGTTATATATGTATATATGGATACGTTTATAACTGTGGTACAACCAACTAGTAAGAAGGGAAGCAGTATCAATAAGCTAAATCGCACGCACGTACAAACACACACAAACACGCACGCACAAAAACGTTCACACGCCCGCGCACGCCCAAACAAACACATACCTTCTATCGTAATGGCAAAGGGAATTTGCACACTGATCATGTTTTGTCCGGGTAAAGAAGTGGTTAAGTTGAAGGTGTCACTGGCAATATACGTCTTCCTCTTCTGGTGGTCTGTTATATTGATTACCTGGAAGTAAAACGTACACATAAATCAGTATACATGTACCAGTTACCACGGTACGATTGCGTATTTGCTATATATATATATATATATATATATATATATATATATATATATATATATATATATATATATATTAAAAGTAAAAACGTTTTTCTTGTACGAGTAATATTATATATAATAAAAAGAAAAAATGAACAGCAACTTTTTTGCCCCGACCGGTTTCTTTCTTTCTTCGGTCGGGGCAAAAAAGTTGCTGTTCATTTTTTCTTTTTAATATATATATATATATATATATATATATATATATATATATATATATATATATAAGAGTAAGAGAAATTATAGAACTCAAAACTCAAAGAGCTACCAGTACTCCTAATAAGAATTTTTAATTACAACTTAAGTGTATGAAACATGCATTTTGAAGCACCGCGGTAGATTTTACTTTTTGGAGTATGGTCAAAACAGATCCGGTTTTATTTCAAACACACAGGTAGCATGTACACTTGGACAAATTTATCCAATAACTTATTACAAACCTATGCCTAATGGAGAAAAATCGTCTACTTATGTAATTTCTAAACATGCAGCGAATGTCAAGTTCATGTGATGTATCATACAGCAATTTGTAAGTTGTGTTCAACTCACCTGCAGTGACACTGTAGATGTCGCTTCAAACGTATCTACGTCGAATGTAATTGATAGATTTTTACAATCTGACGTGGTTACAACGCCCCCTGCTGGCGAGATTTTATGTGACGTTCGTTTATGTAGCGCCACCGCGGCGGCCTTCCGTGGTAATCGGGTGACTCGACCCTGAACAACTACGTAGTTCTGAAATTGTAAATTAAAATGAATGTCTTATATGTCTCATAAGATATAACAATCTTTTACCAAATATGGCAAATCTTGATCTCAGTAAGTTACGGCATCAATCAATGGAAGTTTGAAGTACATCAAAAGCGTACAGATCTTTTTCATTCATTTATTTTTTCTAACATTCAGAAAACTTGTGATTCACGTTTATTGCAAATTGAATCATACAAATGTGTCGTATGACAAAGATTCTATAAAGCATCATTTTTCATATCCTTTTTGTTTATAAAAACGGGAGTCACCAATTTCAAAAATACCTGTACAATGTTTATGCAATTAACTAATCCAATTACATCCTCGGTTTTAAATATTTTGACTAAATCTGTCTAACTGATTTGCTCAGATTGTTCTTTCTGTTACAATATAAAGTTTCTTCACACCATGCAATAAGATTGTTTATATAACTACTAGCAACCCTTTTACGAATATACCTGTCCTTCTAGCTGGTAGCTTTTAACAGTGTGGGGTACCGTTTCCCACTGGTTACCATTGACGTCATAAGACACGCGCAGAGACATCTCGGGAGCTGACGAGAAAGAACGATCTCCAACTGGTATGCCGATTATGATGTCACTCTGTGAAAGAACCAAGTAAACTCTTTATCAGTAATGACAGCAAAACAAATTGCATTCATACTTGTATTTTAGACAGCCTGTGAAATGACGAGGACATCAAATAATATAGAAATAATGAAGCATGCAAAAATTGTCATATGTGTTATCTGTTACTTGCAACACTCACAAGAATAAACTAAACTCATGATAGCTATCTAATTAAATAGGCCACAAGAAAACAATTCGCGTCCATTGCAACTAAATTAGACGAAATACATGTGAAATAAAAACACAGTGTAAATATTTTCTAGCTTTTTCATTCCATATTCATTGTTAGAGCCCAAGCTATACTAAAACAAATATTTAAAAATCAAGCCGTCATCGCTATTAGGGACAGCACTGTACGTAAAATTTTTGGAAAACCCAACTGCATGTTATATAATAATGAGCAAGCACGCATATTGCACACATTTAAAGGCACCAGATGACCGAACTGTTGCCTAATAATAAATGTGTCATTAAATGCACCTACCTCCAATTCAAATTGCCCGCGTGGTTCGAAGGCAATGAGTGCCCCCATAACGTATCTTACGTCCTCACAGCCCACCTTGTTCAATATACTATTGGGGGTGTCTACGTCACACAAGATATCCTCGCCGTCCAAAGTGCCTGGTACTGCCTTCACAATGGAGAGCAACGTTTGACTGGTGGATCGGAAACTGGAATGAGAAAAATGTTTCAAAAACATGAATGAAACAGCAGATTTTATTATTTATTCGTTTTCAGTTATCATTCCTTACAAGCTATTTCTTTCTTTCTTTTTTGTATTTTATTGTAGGTTTTTTCGTGGGAGCAGGGGTGGCAGCGGTAAACGACTACCAACTTTGTTGGCAAACAAAACAAACTTGAGGCGAAAATCCATCTGTATCCTACCAAACCCCACATCAGGTTTAATTTAATTTTCGTGGTATTTTAATGCAACAAACTGGAATTCAAACATGCAGACCGGAAGTCTTACCATATCATTTCCCAGCTATCTGGATCGCCTTCCATCTGGGACATGTTGTGCCACTTGGCAACGACACGACGAACCACCTCTTTTTCTCTGTCCTCCTTCATAATACTCTTGTCACGACAAACTCTCCGTATTTCATTCCTGACCATTCTCAGAAGGGATTTCTGCATCGCCTGGAGCTCTTTGGTGATGTCAAAGACGCTTTTCTTCATTTTTAGTGCTGTCGTTTTAAAGGACTTATTTTCTGGTTTGACCTCTGATCCTTCTGGTTTACTCTCGCCTAGTTCTTCCTCCAGACTCTGGATGGCCCAGTTTACCGTTTTCTCCATCTGCAAGAAAATTAATATGGCATGAAGTAGAATTCGAAAGCAAATCTAAAGAGATACATGTATCGATAACCATTATACTGCATGACCTCAACACGCCCCCTTTTTTATATGCATGCTGTAAAAAGACACCCAAAAATCCAAAATTGCACATGTGTTTTATAGCAGCAAAAATTGGTAACGACTTGCTTATACACTCAGATAAAAAATAATAACCCAGATATCTTTTTTGGTTTGAATAAAAAGAGTATTTTTAAAAGTGAGGTAGACATGAGCAATACGACAAACGTATCAGCAGCATCAAAATACATGTAAATGAATTCCTGCACTAGTCAACCCAATCCTAGCTTTACCTTATACCTTTACCCCGGTACCTGGCATACTTCTATTTTACTTACCTCAGGTATGGTTTAGAAGGGCCAGTGGCCATATTTCAGCAATTAATTCCTTTAGGTTTTATCAAGATAATGACACACTTATGAAAATCGTCGTTCTGCCAGACACTATACTTGAACCTACGTGTATCAAACTATACTGAGACCTTCATATAGGGCTTTAAAAAGATGCCAAGCAGATGGCATAGCCAAAATAATGTTCTATCATTGATCAGCGCATGCGGATATTGGTTGTCTGGCGGGCATTTGCTAACTTACCAAATAGGCTAAATCCAATCCCACGTTTACAGACTGTAGATACGTGTCTTCCTGCAGATAATACTTTGCTGTCAAATAAGACGTCCCCAGTTTACTCTTCACCATATCCGGGTCTTCCTCGGCGATCGGACCGTTGCTAGGTGACAGACAAAGCCGCACAGAAGACGGCCTCAATGGGAGGTTTACCGCCGTGTTGTCTGCCTTTGGATCTGGTGAGGTTTCGTCAACGCTCACTTCGGCACCAGTCAGGGGTTCCGTCGACCCTGCTACTGCAAATAAGATAAAGTGTCTGTCCATTAATGATAATGTTATAAAAGTCTTTTTACCATAATTTAAGATAAAAGAACAAAAAATCAAATATGTCTTGCCATAATTAAAAAAAACATCATGTTTGCATTAACAAGGGTAAGAAGTGCGGTTAACAGGATATACCTCTACGTCAGCACAATATTTTATTTCACAACCGATATAAGAGTGGTAATAACCTGAAGTAAACAACTGAAAAACAAAGGTATTTCAGCATAATAGAAAAGTGAATGTCACACATTTCTGAAAGTTTCATAACCCCCATCTAACACACACACACATACACACACACACACCAACAAAGAATTGACACATTACTCAAATGGCTTAAAACACGTTTTGTTAGGTTTTACACATACTTACGTCCAAATCTGACCGTCTTTTTCTCAGCCTTTTTAGTGGTGAACAGAGCGCCTATCTTATCCATCAGATGTTTATTCAGCTCCCTATCATACTCCTGCTTGGTAGGGTCCTCTTTGACGTCCGACAGAGTGTCGTTGATTATAGACATAAACATGTTCAACAAAATGAAATTCATCGACATTGCAAACACAACGAACACTAAGATCATTACAAGAGAGTCTTGCTCCCGGAGATCAGCGTATTTTAGAATCCCCAACATGGCACCAAATAGACGGTACATAGATTCGGGTATTTCTTTGAAAGAGGTAGTGAAATCCCCGGTCTCTATCACTAGCGCCGCGCTAAAGCTGTACAAGAGAACGACGAATATCCCGACGTAGTTCATGACCTCTCCAAAGCTCCGTTTGAGGATGGACTTTAAGACGGCAAAACTCTCGCTAAAGGAGAGAGGAGCAAAAAGCTGCATCATGGCCAAAAACAAGTCCAAGGCTATGGCAGTACTGTAAGCGTCGTCCCAAAGAACTACTCGATCGAAAGGCACAAACTTACCTAGATAATGAAAGTAACATCATGGAATATAAAATTTCGACTTAAAATGCTGAAAACACTCTGACTACTTAGATCACATTGAAACCCAAGTGATGCTAGGCAAATAAATAAGCATCAAGTAAGAACCCCTTTAAGCATGATATTGCAATACACAGCAAATGGTTTTTGGTAAAATGAGATCAACACCAAAAAACTTACCAATATTATTCTTGACCTCCTCGACCACTTCCACGAGGTACACCGTCCTGAGGACAAAGAAAGCCATGCTCAGGAACGCCATTATGCAGTCACAGAGGCCTAGGACGTGCCACAGATGTCTGTAGAAGTACTGCAACTTCATCTTGAACATCAGAATCAACTCCTTCACGAAGAAATAGATCACGAAGATTGCCCAGATGATCTGGATGAGAAGCAGAACGAAGTCGAATGCCTCCACGTACGGGTAAGGTCTGAAACTTGACTGCGTGGCCGACACCATCATTCCACCGGTGACGGGGAATTCGATGGCGACCCTCACCATGGTGAAGACGTTGACGAACGCGTTGTTGATGGTGAACTCCACGAAGACGGCCCTCGTAGAACGGTCCAACCAGTTGTTGGCTTTGAGACTTGTGAATGTGGCTGTCGCTGCGGCCGCGCTGGAGACATCCACTATATATCCGCTAGGGGGATACGAACCAAATAAACCGTTGTACCAAAAGTCGTTTGGGCCGTCCTGAACCTTATATTCAAATCCCTGTGGCATGGTGTGTCCAGCAGTTAGGTTGAATATGTCCCATTCTTGAAAGAAACACAGTGCGGTTTTTATTTTGATAAATGCTAATGAAATTAATATAATGTATCGCAAAGCAACAGAAGCCTGAACTACAATGTTAAAGAAATTTTGAGTCTTTGTTTTTATATTTCCCATTACTTTTAAAATGCTATAAGAAGATGAGATGATGGCATTTACCTTCCGTGTGGTTGTGTCTCACTTCAAAGCGGTCCTCCCAGTACGGGATACAAGAGTTAGTCAGTTTGTACATGGGCTCTACCACAGAACATCCCCCTGGCGATAGAAGCATTGCAAAATATGGTACAATAGCAACATAATAATAAAAAAATAATAATATAAATCGAGTACTCACTATCATATTTACAATTACTGAACAACATGTTTCAGTCAGTCCTATTATGTTCACTTGTCTGTGAGGGCAAATTAAGGTAACAATACCAAAATTGTAAAACCTTGCAACATATGAAAACATTTCACAAAATATAACATCCTAACAACGACGTATGACTTACCTTTTCTGACGCGCACTTGGCGCAGACGCAATGGGCCCAGTCTCAGTCCCGCTAGATCTCGTATGAACTGAGTCTCGTAGGTGTCTAGAGTGTCACCATTATACAGTGTCGTTGGGAACACCCCGGGCACGATTGTTTCGTCTAACCACGTCCAAATGTCATCAAAGCTACCAAACTACAAAAATATTAAAATAAAAAAGAACGTTATGTTACCTGTATTTAAATGATATTCAAACGTGTCGTAAGACTCCTAATCACACTTACAAACAATTAAATAACCCAAATCATGTTATATCCAAAATTATCTTGACTTCCTCAATTACAATTAAAAAGACAGGCAATTGTATAATTTTTATTTTACGTGACAACAGTGTGTTCAATACCGACTTGTATGGCAAATGCGACAAACCAGCACACTCGTTTACCATACTGTTTTATTCTAAATTCTAGCTACAAAGAAAACTGAAAGCAGTTACGCATGCAAAAACACGTATTTATCAGAGATCTAACAAAGGCACTTGCTCCCAATGGCTTACCGATATATCCCCCATTTCGAAACCAGTCCGCACAGCGTAGTTTTGCAGAAAAAAGTTGTCATCGCGGTTACTGAAGCAGATGACGATGAGTAAAAATAAGTGCAACAGGTGAACTGCCACGTCCTGCAGTTTCCCCATCAGTCTTTTGTCCCGAAGATGCGACGCTCTTTTCTCCTTCAGTTCCTCGCTGTTGTCGCCTGGTTCCTCGAGTTGATGCGGTATGAATACGGTCACTATGAAAATATCCAAATATCCAAATATGTGTAATTAAAAATAGTAAGTGGACCACGAAGACCGTCCTATGACTTGACTAGCTGCCTTTAAATGAAAATCGTCCTGAATCCTTAGTTATAATGTCAGTTGTTCCAAGATGTTACTTTTACTATTAAAACAAATACCAAAAACGGTACACGTTTACATGATTCTGCTTTGCTGCGACAAACATTGCATGAGGTGAGAATGTCACACATTTTGGTTGAACCCATCTCTGACACACGCTGTCTAACCACAGCATCAGTTGAAACACACACCAGCTTTGAATTCAAATTGCCCACTGCAATCATCTAAAGATTGGAGACGCAGAAATAATGATGACACAAGTAGTACATCTAGGTATTTTCTTACCCGGTCCCGAGCCTCGTCGTGACACCAGTATATCGATGTTCTCCATGTCCATGTCGTCCTCATCCTCAACGGCCGGTAATTTGGATATACACGAGAACGCCACTGCTAACAACACCACCTACAAAATACACATCATCAGAGAGGAGGAAGATATTACTACTTGAACTGAACCCTTTGGATATTAAAAGTTCTTCAAGGATACAATATTTATCTATTTTTGAATCAGATTTTACAGCAGAAACGAGTACCACATGTTGTGTCGGCAACGAAAAGTTTACCAACCGATGAATTTGTTACCTACATGTTTCCGAATACTCATTTAATACTTTCATATTTCAAAAATTGCGAAACTTTATCGACACGTATTTGCCTCAATAATTAGAATTCCATTTGCACATATCATGACACACTTATATCAATGTACTGGTATCTTTAGATTTCACACATGACACCCTTGCAGCGATTCTTGCTTACCTTAATCGGCTGAATGATGATGAAAGACTGTGTGAAAGAGAAAAACATGGACAGTAGCCAATCCAGCGCCTTCTCCTTCCCCCACTGAAGGCTGTAGAGAAGCGTAAAGAACCCCGACGCCGCCACAGACAGTATTACAAGCACGTATCCCACTATGATAAAGCCCCAAGGCAGCATCAGCGGTTTGGAGGCTTCCTTCTTTTTCTTGGCATCAGCCTTCCCTAACGCATCGAAGAAGTTCCCCCTCGTGAAGGGTTGCATGGCCAAGGACATCAGAAGCTCGTCTGTCACCTGACTACCAGATTTGTCGTCAGTGGTCGCTGAAAAATACGTGTCGCGGTACGTTACGGGTATCATGCGTTCAGGGTACGCTATTCCATACTCAGTGCTACATATCCCATAAGAATCAAGACCATTTTCTTCCTTCGCCTTCATTTTCTTCTCATTCTCCTGCACGCCGTAAGATATCGCCACCGGCTTCAAGACAACCCCAGTCCCGAACCGCGATTGCCCCTCTTCAATGTCAAATTTTTTGGTGTCTGTAACCCTTGGCTTGGCACGCCTGAATATCTCAATCATGATGACAGTTGGGGGGACCACAAGGAGACTTCCTATAAAGCCGACATAGACCTAGAGACGGAAGCAGATAATTATATTATATGATTTTTCAGAAAATAGTAATTGCTTTTTTAATACTAGAAAGCAGTTTTAATAACAGAAATGCACTTTCCGTACAGTACCATTGCAAATCTGCTGCGAGTTGCAGACATAATCTTTTTTTTTCTCGCCGAAAGGAAGATGTTTCAACATTGTGGCATCAATACTCGATATTCATATTACTAAGAGGCCTGTATAGCAATGATTCAGATGGATATTACAGCAAATATTAAGACAGTTACACTATATAGCGTTCACTAATAAATGTTTTAGCAAACGTGAACTAGCGGGCATTTTAGAGAAAATAATTTCAGTCTACCGCCAGCAGGACCATTTGTGAAGTAATACACTCTCCCAGTCCTTCGAAGTATAAAGCGCGTCTTCAACCCAGTTATAAATAAATTAATTCACAAAATCGCGTTATAAAGTCGAAGTAATATTCTCTCGTTATCCACATCTCATTAAATAAATATGTATAATTAAGCGTCAGCGCATAAACTCTGCCTTCTCTAAATCCGCCATTTTACCTGGCGGAAAGTGATGGTGATGGGGCCCAGAGATATACCGCTGCTCGACGTCCCCTCTTCCTCTCCCTTGAAGAACATGGCGTTGGCAATCATGGCTAGGAAGAGCATCGCTATACACACCGAGACCCTCTGCACTCGGGAGAACCTGAAGGTATTTGGAACATTGACACACAGAGAAGACTGACTTTAATAAATAGCGGTGTTCGATAATACAGTTTAACGTGCCCTGTGCGATTTTTATTTTAATATCTGCGCAAACAAGTTTCAATTTATTTCCTTATCCATTTTTAGATTCTTCTTTTTCTACTAATTATTAAAATTATTATTATTATTATTATTATTATTATTATTATTATATTGCATTGGTGTTGTAGTTAATACAGATTATCAATACGAATCTGTTTTTATTGACAAAACATGAATGGTTTGACTTAAATCTGCCTCTGCTTGTCTGTGTTAGGTTAAACTTTCCCCTTTACCTGCTTGACGTGGGTCGAGTGAACACCGAAATCCACAAGTGATCGTCAAAGAAATTCTTGGAAGCGTTTTCCTCGAAAAGTTCGTTGAACTCCTGGATTTCATCTTCAGAGCGTGCAGTGAGCAGACGTTCGATCCTCTTCTCGCCTTTGGTATGTGACAGCCACCGACCACAGGTGAAGAAGAACCTGCAGACGGATTAGGTATAACTTTTTAAACCATATCATCACCTTCAGACTAAGATCATACTCCGCGTCTCCTTGTCAGACTCGCGTTCATCTAACAGTACATGTGCGGAACTATGTGTCCAAACATACAAATACATGTAAATTCGTTTTGTTTCTCATCGTGAGCAAATTTTTATAATTCATTGATTTATTTTCAATATCTTTTGACACAAAGTCATTCCAAGGCACCCTCTAGCGAGTAATATTCCACACCTTATGAGACAGCCTCTTGTTCATTGTTTGTGAACAAAAATAACTTTCAAAACAATATATAAGTCCACCGGAATGCAAAAAAAAAAAAGATATTAAAAAAGCTGTAGACTATTTCAGAAAGACTAACACCCCATTTCCATAGATTTTTAGATCGATCTATCCCTGTGGGGAGTCTCATTAGATTACTGTCAGCTTGGCCGGCTTAAGCGTCTGTCCCGCCTACTAAAAGCTGTAAGGGGGTAATTAACTATGGTGCCGGCTCAGCTGACTGCAATTTAGCGTGAACCCCCAGGGAGTTAGGTCGATCTAAATCTTACTCTTTAGATCGATCTAAATCTCTGGGAAATCACCCTAAGAACGTACAATCTCTACGTACCGTTTTTTTTCTGTGACGTCATAGACTATGATCTTTCTGAGGAGCCAGTGGGGACTTTTCCCCTTCCCGTCATGCCATATCTGCATATTAGTAAGTTTTCCTAGGGACTTGGGGACGCCCATGATGTAGTTATTGGTAGTGCCACTTTGTAAACACTAATTGGTAAAGGTAACTAGTATAATTACGCTTGTTTAATGCAAACGGTATAGCCTTTGTTCGGTATTATCACAGGATAGTTTTGCTGGGGTTTGCTTCAGACGTTTAATAAAAACACAAACCCAGTGCACAATCATCAAAATATGGTACAGTTACAGCTTAGTTGTTTTATACTTGATGTGATGGCGAATGTTTGAGATGAAACTACCAGATCCTGATGTGACTAATCATTATTGTGCAGTATTTATTTTTATGATATCAGATAATCAATTCACCTTACGCTGTCCATCTGACAGCACTCTTGGTCTTGTCTTCCCGAGTTCCCCGTGGAGTATGAAGTAAACATTGGCCGATAGATGGCGCGACGAACGCAGACCGGTTAACACGCTGATTCTGTAGTAATAAGTGTCACTTTTCTTGTTGTCAGATAACGGTGCATAAGCCCACTAAAATATGAGAACATGGATTTTCAAAATAGTTTTTTAAAAAACGTGACATGTTGCTCTAAAATATTGTCAATTTTGGGTTTCATTTCAATACAAGACAAATCATATTGAAACTATTTAATAATATGAACATTAATTATTATTATTATTATTATTATTATTATTATTATTATTATTTGTTGTTGTTGTTGTTGTTGTTCTATCTATTATAAATTACATACCAGTATTCTGTCTTGAAGGTCCCTCCTCCTCATAAATATGACCAATATAATGTACAGAACCACTAGACCAATCAGAAAACCGAACACATACGCATTCTCGGCCAGCCGCTCCCCAAAATTGGCGAACACTGCATCGAAGTCGATAGTGTTTGGTGGCTCAAATAAGCCGGCGGCGAATGATCCGAAGAAGTTGCTCTTAAAGACAACCTTTCTACCTGTCGATTCGGGAGCAATCTGTAAAATTGAAAGCAGCAGTTTCTTTATTTATTAGGCCTCTATACCATATTAAAATTACACAATTTCTACATCGATATGCAAATCCATTCTTTTTTGTGACAAGTGACATTTAACATAATATGAAGTATGTCTTCATGTTACCTCTAGCTCTGTGGACGTTTCCCATTGGCTGGTAGTTGCGTTCCACACGCGTGCGTCGATAGTTAGCGCCTGCGCAGTGAAGTTGGTGGTCGTGTTCCCTGAACTTAGAAGTCTTCTGCTGCTAGATACGACAGCCTGCGGACCTTCACGGTACAAAGTGTTTAAGCATTAAATAAATTACAATACATCGAAAATTATACCCCAGTACGTATGCATGATTAAAAAGAGAAGCTTGAACAGGCAAGTGCCCGCATGTGTTGAGGTGGCATTACGGTAGCTAAAAGTACCTTGGGGTAAATTTGCATAAGTTCCTATGGTATCAATTAAATGAAATAAGCCTGCAATGTATTTTTAGCGTAAGCTATTGCAGAGGGATACTGCTTAAAATTTGAATCAATATGAACATCATATTTGAAGTAAGACAACCAGATCCAAAGCTGCTTCAGTGTTGTAGAGGAGTCAACCCCCCTCCCCCTTCGTGAGTTCTTAAAATAATTTCTTTTCTTCCTGTCCGTAAGAAGTATCTTACTTTCCTTTTTGACAGCATCTTCCCAAACGTTTTGTAATTCAAGCATCTTTCATCAAATAAGTTTTTCACCTTACCTTCCTGGGTAACACCAATGTACATGGTACCAGCGCCATCGAAGTTCTTAGCAGAGACGAACAATCTGTAGCTGTTTGAGACTAGACTGACTGATATCCCTGTGGCACTTCCGTAGTCAGTTGTTAAAAGCTGTGTGTCTGCAACAACTTTAAACAAGTACGTGGTTTCTGTCGGTTTTGTCTTAAAGTTGCCAATCAAGGTGTACGTGTCATTTGGATCGCCTCGCCTGTTGATGGTGACAAGCAAAGACGTTGGGGGGTCACTTATTGTGAAAGCCAAAAATGACGTGCTGCCATTGCCGTTTTCAACGACTATCTCTTCCGGATCAGTTGTTCTTCCGGTTTCACTTTCGATTTGCACCGGTTCTGTTGGTGTCATTATGTTTCCATTAGAATCTTTGATCGTACAGTCGATGCTGGGCGAATTAACATCTTTATTGGAAGCGGAATAGGAGTGAGGGGGCTTGTCGTGTATAACCATCTGGGATAAAAAGGCAAAAACTGTTTTACGTTTATGCTGAAGTACATACACAATATTGATACCCGGTGCAAGTTAAAATAGCATGTTTGTGTTATGAATGTTTAACAAGATTAAAAGAGCATATAGCTTGTGCGATTACCAAATTAATTTATTTCCTACAGTTAAATCACGTAAGCGTTTATACATTTTATTTATAAACGGTATTCCAGCTCAGAAAAACATGGTTGTTTATATTTGAAAACAAGCACAAACACATTATTAAATTATTCCGAACCCCACCTTAGTAAGCAGTGTTGTTCCAGGCGCAGCGTTGACCCCTGGCATAGCAACGTTGGCATTGGGCGCAGTGACATTTTGTGCTGGGTCATCACTGGTTGATTTCTGTAACGCCATGTTGATGCTTCCCCCGGAAATGACGACAGGCGTGGTCCCATTGAGACCACTGTACACTAAGGAAGCCACAGTCTCCAATATTTGGTTGGCTTTTTCTACTGCGGCTTTAGCCTGGTAAAAATTAAAAAAAAGTTAAGTCTGACAAAACGGCTTAAAATCAATCAAAACTGGTTTGATTTTGAATGCTACCAGTTTTTTTGCATTATTTTAGATAACTGACCAGCAATCATTGCCTCTGTTTTTACAAGAAAAAATGTGTATTTCTATGCACTGTAAATGCCACACAGTTGCTGGTTCTGTTTTAGCTACAACCGTCGCTTATTTCAGTATTGCTTTTCTTCCGTTTCTTGTGTTGCCACACAGTGAATCTGTGTTTTTTTACATACTAGTATATTCATCATCATCATCATTATTATTATTATTATTATTATTATTATTATTATTATTATTATTATTATTATTGGTTGAATGACATATTTGAAAATGATCATATCGAATCAATCTTACCACAGTTCTGTCGGCTTCTGACATCTGGCTGCCGCCGCTGCTGGATGAATTACCGGAAGCTGCCGGTGCCGAGGTTGGAACAGAGGTCGCTGTCAAGGACGTCCCGATGGCCGACAAGAAATCTGGCAATTATATCAATTATGTGGATAGCGCTGCAGGCTGTTTTACAACACAATTCGTTATATTTGATACGTTCTCCTTGAATCGGTTACAAAATGAGCAAACCAACCGTAATTAAGAGTGAGATACGTGCAGACATGTAAACCGATGTTACATGTATGATGTTCATACGAACGCCCCAGATGTATAGTTTACGCCAGAATACTATATTTTATTATACAGAATACTTATAAAAAATTTAAAATAGTTAACTTCGAGATCACCCACAAAAAATGGTATTGCCATAATGCTTAGACAAAGGAATCAACAATACGATAAGTGGAAATGTATTCATAAATATAGGATGCATACTTTTAAATGAAGGGAAACCAATACTCACTTTTTCCAACTCTAGCCACGGCGTCCACTGGCTGCCCCGCCATCCGCCCTGCCAGGTTGCTGGTGACGTCCAGGAGCTTATCCTAGAAATTGTTTTAAACAGTTCAATCAAACTGACCAGTTAAATACCTAAAGGCGCATTTATACAACCAAGAGAGTGAAGAATTATTGAATCAGAAAAAAAATTAAACTTGACTTGTCCAAACTCAAAATTGCTTTTGTATTTTCTTTGTATGTCTTTATATTTTCACTTCATCTCTTTGTTGTTAAAATGTGTAATACAGCAACTTATCACTTGATATTTTATCCATGATTCATTTATTTACAGGTATTTATTCATTGCCCAAACAATGGTTCCTTTAACCAAATACATACTACATTAGTTAATCTTATCATTCATACATCTACTTCAACTTGCCTATTTTTCTTTTATTTATAAATTTATTTGCCAGTCATTTACTTATCTTTTATTTATATTTAGTATTTATTTTTATGGTACTTACTGCTGCTGATGCATCAACGGATGTCAGGTTGCCCAGACCGCTGGATACCTTATCAATAGTATCCACACTCAGCGTTATATTTGGATTCGACGCAAATGATTCAATGTTACTGAGAAGTTTCTGAAAAAGAATAGAAAATTTACTTCGAGGCGTTTTCTGTGGTGACTCCGATTGTGGAATCCCGTTTCTGAGCTGCGAAGAAGTGAGAAATAAACAAGGTCGATATGTATGTATGTACATAATTTGAAGTAGCTGCTTGGCTTGCAGGGCCCCCGTGTTGCAGCCGAGTACCGTAAAAAGTTAATATTAGAAGGGGCTGGCATTTACCTTTGTCGTACTTCTTATGCTTATGACTGACGTAGTTGAAAAAAAATGGAATAACTCCTTATGAGTCAAAATTTCTGCTACAACATATACTTGAAAAAGTAAAACAAAAATAATCGAAATTCTGACACAATTTGGGAATTGGTCTTTTAACGGGAGAGACTGCTCCTCTGCTTTGTTTGAAAATAGGGCGGCCGTCCCAAAGAGGCAACATACATGCACGCTCGGTGATGAGTGACCCATATTTACACAGGAGCTAAATAACAACATGGCTTATGATTACCTGAGTGAGCGCAGACGAGTTTTGGGATCCATTCCCAGCTCCCGAACCCTGGAATATAATAATAATAATAATAATAATAATAATAATAATAACAGTGAGGGCTACAAAACTAATATTTCCATCCAAAGGAGTCATTTTTGCTTGAAAACAGTAGAAATTCCACCTGTTTTAATGCAGGCGAACTTGTTCTTTTGACTCGACTGCTACTGTTTTATCTGTGGGCTAATAGTCATTCTTTGTGAACGCGGTCTCAATGTCGAAAGATCTGTTGTTGGCATAACTTACGGCTAAACTCGCGCCAATGTTTAGTACGGCGTCTGCAAAAGCATCCGGGTCCTCCATTAGTGAGTCCAGGTTATCCAACATTTCGTCTGCGCCTTGATTGAAGATACAGAAAATAAAATCAGAGAATGATGAAACATTGCAACGTATCCAATATATCCTAGCTTTTTTCTTTTGGAAAAGTATGTTTCATAATGTAGTCAAAATTACATTTTTAAACATATAACATCTTTCTATTTGCAGTTTAGGAAATTGTGACACAAACATCGGACAAGTACCTTGAATGTAATTGGTCAGTCGAGAGAAAGGTTGTATCCCCTATAGTTAATTGTTGAATGAAAATAAAATATCAGCTAGACGACTGATCACAAGAGAACACAGGCTTCTTCTATGAATTAAGAGTGTATCAAATATGAATAATGGGCGACATGTCTTAATAACAGTATTCCACTCACTCGCTGTTGTAGTTTGGACGGGTGTTGTGGTAATGAGAGGCGTGGTAGTTGTAGTGGAGGTTGTCGTCGTCGTCTCCTCGGCCATTGTCGTCTGCTCGGTGGTTGTCGTCTGCCTGACCGTTGTCGTCTCACTCTCTGTAGTAGTGGTCATCTCCTGTGTCGTGGTGTCCTCCATTGTCGTGGTCATTAAGTTCACTATTTAATACATATTATATTATATTATATTATATTATATTATATTATATTATATTATATTATATTATATTGCGGGTCCAGCATTTCCAGAAGTGTAGTGATACATGACGAAGAACATTTTTGTCCCTGTAATTGCTTTTATGCATTAATACTGTTAATTGCATCATAACATACTGTAAGCGCCTAAAACCCACACACTACTATAAGAATAGACGTCGCCACGATCGTTTCGTCCTTTCGCCAGTACGATGCTCATCATGAATTAGAAGAGATCGAGGCTCAGTGTTTGCAATAATATAGATGTCGCCACCTACCTTGATAACTAATGTTAGCCCCAGCAGCAGTAATGGAGCCGTCTGATATGGACCAGAAGAGAATCACGGAGTAATCTAACGTGCCCGTGATGCAGGTGTCCCCGGTGCAGTTTTGGATAAAAGTATAACCTGCGTCGCCAATGTTTTTGCCAAAGACCTGCACATGATAAATTGATACATGGCGAGTAAAGACCCTCTACCAGGGCCTCAATATAAATAAGGTAATTAAATCAATAGATACGGATATAGATAAATATATGAATTTATTCCAAATGAATAAATAAATAAACGCAAAAATAAGTGCATTTCAAAAACTGGGCATAAACAAATTAATGAATAAATGATATTAGACACGGTTGTCCATGTACTTACGCCTACGTAATCATAACCATCTTCGTATTCAAAACTGTTGACGGTCAGAGTTATAGATGCCGCATATGGGCCTCCCAGGATGGTGGTGTTGCATGAGTGACCAGTCGGATATTTAAATGGATAATCCGGTGACAAGTAGGTACCAACAGGATCTGTTAATATGTGATTGCACTGATAGGACGCTGGAGGAAAACAAAAATGAATTGGCTGTTAAACTAAAAATGTTAAGCTTTTGTAAACATGAGTGAATATGAGAAGGGCATTTTATAACCTTGTCGGAGCGGCTATAAAATTCCCTAGTAACATACAAACTCTTATAGCCAAATGATGTAGGATTTTTGATAGGCAATGCACGTTTCATTATCATCACTTCAAGTATATTAACAAGAGAAATATCCATTACGCTTTCCAACACTACGTGTATCAGGGCTGCTCATCTCCATCTCACTTTACTTTTCGTGTGTCTATTTACGATAGGAGAATAAAGAAAAAAACAAGCTGGGTGCGATGTATAACAATAGGAATCTATTTTAGGTTTTGCCCAGTTGACAAGCCTGGTTCACACTTGGACTATTTCAGTCTTTGTTTCCACTCGACCAAACATTTTAGGCACTTTTAGCTTGGAAGGCACCGGTACTGCCCAATGATTAGATCGACCTTTTGGAAATTGATGTCACTCAGTGTCTGTGGAATACTCAGCCAGGTTCACAAATTTTATAATTGCAAAATGTCAAATCTGCTTCCATACTTTGATACAAATAGCAGATATGCAAATATGCAGTAAGCAATTATGCAGATAGCACCTTACCATTCACAGATATATTAAACCCCTGTTCCTGATTCCGGTAGCCATCAGCGGTGAAGTAGCCCACCAAAAGCAAGTGGCTAACCATTTGGGACTGCTCCTCTATGATGGTCACGTTTTGTTCTAAAGTCCAACCATAATTATTGCTCTCGCAGTAGCCCAGTTCGATCTGGAACGTGAAAAATACTGAGTTGAAGAGTACTGTTTGCAGTGTTAGGAAGGGGATGGCAAGAGCTTTAGAAACTCAATTAAGCGCCGCATCACTGACCGTTCGTTTCTTTATTGCATTATCAACATCATCATCATCATCATCATATTATTATTATTATTATTATTATTATAACAATGATAAGCATGCTGATAAGCCGTCAACACCAACAACAACAGGGCAATATTCAAACCCGGAATGCAAAGACTTGAGAAATGAGGTTGCAGGCTTCACAATTAAATGAAAGATGCATTATTTCAAATGAACCGGTGAATGGATGCTGCTATTAATATGCATTTCCCTGCAGTTTGATATACTCCCTGAGGTATTAAGATTTAATTACCTTTAATGTGTCGTTATCCAGGTTCAGCCCATGATAGAAAACCCTGGCTTTTCCATAAGGTAGGCTGGGCATGGAGACGTAGTAATAACACTTTTGGTTCTTGTCATACACTTGTGGGTAGTTTGAAGATGTGAAATAGGCGACAGGTGCCGCCACCAGCACCTGGTTACAGCTCTCACCTGAAAGATTTTAAATTAATTTATCCGTGTGTTAATTAAGTCACCATATTATACGTTATGAATTTACAAACACACAGTTGGACATGCAGCAGCTTAAGTCTTTAGACTAAGAAAGGTTCTTACTATACAGTGGTAACAGAATCACAATGACAACATACTGTAATTAACTACGGGTTTCGGAATTGCATGTAAGTTCAACCACTAACTCATAAACAAACGCACAAACAAGCAACGCATTAGACTTGCAATTTTTTTCAAAAGTTATTATGTCCAAACAAAAATCTAAATTAAAACACGTACTTGAGTTGCTTAGCGTATTTGCAAACACAGTGGTTTTGTTGCCTACAAAGATGCTCCCTTGGCCTTTCACGTCTATTGCATAAAGTATGCCCGGAGTTAGGCTGGAGATGGTAGCGTTGAAAGCGATCCTGTTCACCACGGCACTGCCACACGAGTTGTATTGACGGTTACCTAGACAGTGGGTACAGTTCACCTGAAAAATTGACATTAGGCATGGAGGTAAACATGCATATTGAACAGTGTTAATCAGATCCAAAAGTTATATTGGTGTCTTGCAAGAAACGGATCCTCTCAAGCAATATACTTGTAAAAAAAACAGATTGAATGTCAGGTCAGCTTAGTGCCAATTGATAAGACGTTTTCGTGAGCGCAGGTAATGCGGCTGATGAAAAGAAATGAGCATGCTTAGTGTTTCAAATTCTCCGTTGATATATTTTGATGGATTACTACAGGTTTAACGTTGTTCAAAGTACATGCTCAATGTGAATGTACAGGTAAACACTATACAAGAGGATATCGAGCATCACTATCGTATTGATTTTGTAGTGGCCATTTACCTGTACCTTTCAGCTAACACAGTGAACACAATATGTGTACTTTCACCGAACACAATCAGCACATTGCGCAATCTCAACTAACACAGCGTGACGTCACAACTCACCACGTATTGAGTCACGAGGCTAGCTCCTGTCGCTGGGGCACTCCACTGTATAACGACTGCTGTGGTGTTTCCACCCACCTGCATCGCGTTCTGAACTTCTGAAATCTCTGTAATAAAATATAGTTAACTGGTGGATGTGATAAAGGGTGATGATGAGTTGAGGCAAAAAGTGATAGCCTTGCTCCACATCACATCCTGCGACCTCCAATAATGGTAATGATTTAAAAACATTTGTGTCACTGTGGCCTCAGCTTTTTTTTTTTTTAATTTAGATGTCCCTCTTCACCAATGAATGTAATTCCGGACAATCTGACCGTATTTGTCCCCGGACATTGACAGAAGAAAATCTGGCCCAATGACCCCCAGTTACCCCCTTCATTCCAACTATCGCCTTTCAGGTGTCGCAGTTACATCATAATGGTAATGTTCCTCTTTTACCATTTTCTACAGGTACATCTGACATGTCACATCATTGAGTGTTTTGACCTGCTTAAAGATGCGGATAACATTTGAATGACGTGAACTCATTATATTTATGTTTTGAAATCTATAATTGCAAGATCAGTATTGATTGGAAAAACACGACATACTGATCTCTCAATCGATTCCGTAACTTGACATTCACATTTTTCTTTTACATTTCAACAATAGTTCACCTTTTTTGGCAAATGCACTGACTATTTGATCCTTTTGCGAGTTATCTCTATTCTAACGACGTGGTCATTTTCAAATTTCACCAAGTTGGTTTCACACAGGTGAACTCACGAGCTCAAAATGGCTGGAATAAACACATTTTGAATAGGATTTAAGGGTTTGAATAAACATTGAAATTCTAAGATTAGATTGTAAATCACTTGATTCACAGTATGCTAAGGTGAATTTTAGGGAGTGCAGTTTCTCGCAGTCAATATTCGGACATGATTCCAATTCAACTGCGCAGCATTTTTCTATTCTAATTATCATGCCTTTCTTTTCTCATGTTTAACTCGCGTGAGTGGCCTCGCTGGTCAGGTTTTCTCTACCGTGACGGTTTGATTTGTAATGTCAACAATTCAATAAATAAACTCATTGGTAATAGAATTCATACCGTGGAGGAGCAAATCGAAGTATCGATTCACCGTTTACATACCAGAATTTTCGCTTGTATGTCGTTAGAAGCTGGCTTATCCTATATTTACGATCTTAAAAACATACTCTTTACATATATGTATATTATCATTCTTTATTTCTTTTTCTCTGTCACACTCTCTCCCTCTAGATCTGTCACATTCCCACCCACCCAATCACACGCATACGCACACACACACGCACACACGCGCGCGCGCGCACGCACACACACACACACACACACACACACACACACAATAGTTTGTCCATACTTACGACATTCTACTTTCTTTATTCCAACTATCACTAGGGTGAATATCTGCAAAAGATAAAACACAAGGTCAAACATGTATTTATTGTTACCTCATTCCTGCAAACGCATTAGGCAAAAAATTTGAGGACATTAATTGTGTATTTATACTGATCTAAAGATATTTTGAGGGAATTGGGGAAAGCGGCTACGGAATCATGTCGTCATTTCAAAGTATTGGTTTGCTAAACCCAGCCTGTATCTAAGCTGCCTTGTGCTCTATCGGCAAACAAATTACTACTTATTTCGTAATATCTGGATCGAACGACCTAGACATTGAGTGCTTTGGTTACGTAATCATTGATTACTCAGTATAAGCAATGACCTCTCCCCATAGACAGTGTGTAGGACCCTGTTATAGGACAAGGAGTTTGCGTTATTGACAAGAAAAATGTGAACCTTTCTTGGTAGTAAAAACAGCGGAGTTACCAAAATATGAATAACACATCTATTAACTCGTATATATTAATAAAACTACTGTACAAAGTCGAACAATGACGTGACTAGTTTAAAGATGCATACAAAGTCAATTTTTTGTCACAAAAACCAACCAAATGCCAGCATATAGTTTCAAGTAGTATAACTAAGAGAATTACCAAAAGGCATTGTTTAATTTTACCCGAAAATGATGTTTGAACGGATTTTTCTGCTGGCATTCTAAGCTATATGTCAAATGGGGCAGGGAAGTAGGTGGGCAGGGAATCCACGCTCCACCGATGCTCGGTTCGTATGTACCTTTAAGGACACAGCAGTAATATTTTAGCTATCATAAATTACGCTGAACAATTATACAAAACGTGTGGATAAAAATCAGCGTGGGGAAGGTAGTTAAAACAATCACATGCTTTTTGAATGAAAACAACACAATATTTTAGGACCTTTTACGCGGGATTTTATAATATGAAGGAAATATTATAATTTGAAGAGTGCATCCAAAAATTTAAACAAAGTACTAGTTCAAGCCTAAAGGTAGTACTAGGGCAGACCGTTTGGGGCATGTGGTCGGGTTATATATCATCATTTTGATTACTGGCCTGTAGATGTATATGCATTATCTTGTCAAATATCATCGAAGCTTTGGAGCAGCGTTGCGTTCCTTTCAACAAATCTGTATGCGTTAATAATACTAAAGGCCTTTAGAGGGAGAATTATTTCAAGGCATGTAAGCGAGAGAACCTCTTTCCATTGCTGTATAACCCTAATCTCGGAGACGTTTTTAAATACTACCTTTATGGCAAATCAAATAAAGTCCAAAAGGGTTATGTATTTTTTCATTAATGAAAGGGCGTGAACTTAATGGTTTTTGTATCGATTTCTTTAATCTGACGTACCGCCATTGCACAATAAGTGTTGATTTTTTTCACCCCTGCATTGAATTGTCAAACAAATGCGCAATAAGTGATTTATGATTTTTCTCGGGGCATATGTTCAAGAAGTAATATCAGATGGTTGTATTGATCAGAAAAAAAAACATAAAATTCGCTTTTGATCCCAATTGAATGTGTAAAACTGACGAATGTTTCACAAACATCCATTTTTGTGCGAAAATAAAAAATATGAGACATAGCAATGGATCGTTCAGATACCGCAATTGAGGGGTGTTAGTGTAAAGAAAAAAGGTCTGATTTTGGGTGACATAATACACTATCATCCGAGTGATATATGCCGTGACACCTTCAGGGTCGGCGAGACGTGTTCAAGGCATATATCGCGAGCGGGAGGCAATGTATTGAGCCTCTTTGACAAATATACCGATAGAAAGTCGAAAAACGCCCCTAAAAGTGAATAAACCGCATGTCACCACTGTCACATATATGTAGCATCTCCATGTATGTATTCAAATCAGCATGGTTTTCTTTTTTATTATTGGTGTGCATAGTCTTGAATTGTTGGTTTGGGAATTTGCAAAAGAAGATTTTCATTATGTCACTTGTCTTTTGGGTGTTTGTTAGAATACCTGACTATGTATATATTTCCTTGATAGTTTATTTATTCATTTGCATGTCTTTGATCTCTTGTTGAACACCGTACTCAACGTTTTTGTTCATGATTGAGACAGGCCTATAAAACCAATTTAAGGAAAAATATATGCTGTTATACTGCATATCATATCACTAATTGCGGCTATGAAGGATATTGCGAATTCTTGTACTAAAATTTGTAGTAACCGTACTACAATTTGTAGTAACCGTTTGGTTTGCTTGTATTGCCATATGTGTTGTCGTTACACGAGTATTAAATGTCCAAAACATTGTGTGCACCACAGTGGCCATCTGTCTGTTTTTCCACACTGTCCGCAAGAACAAATAACGACCTCCACGTTCTGAAAATTTTGTTTCATTACTCTACCTATAGCAACATGCATATAAAGTCCAGGCGTTTTTCACTTTCCATTCCAAATATCGACAGACGTATCACCATTCCTTTGTGTTTCGATACGGTTTGGGCTGTCACGTAGACTTTGTTTAGCAATTAATGTCATCAGATGTTACTTCTCAAGACCTTGTTTGGGTTCCACGCGTTATATTGTTTAAATTGTCGTGATAATAATTGAATCAAATACGCAGGCGCTCGTGTTTTTCTATGCTCGGTGATTGCTTGAGCACGAGAAATGGTTTAAATATAACTGTAGGTACATGTAGCTACACGCATTAAAAGCTAAAACGCGGCGTTATCTATCTTTAAGCCTCAGCTAGATTTGACTGATATTTTTCCCCAAATATTGACGAAATTTTGTTGATTAGAAACATCAATGTATGTCATAGCTTGGACGATTAAATTCCATTTAAAATATTTTGCTGGCTATCAAAGTAAAGATAAAAGAAAAGCTACAAATAGCCTTCGTGGAAGCCACCTTAATTCTCAGTTTCAGTGACAATACGTAATGTTGCAAGGCGGACAAAACCGCGCATTTTCAATTGCCATGTGAGCAAGACCACGTGTGTCAATTAATGACTTATTAGATACTATGTAAAAAGAAACATGATATTCGGACATATGTACCTTTATGCTGTATTACATGTAGACAGGATGAACACAAAAACATGATCGATATTTTGACATTTGTACTTCTAAGGATCATCTTACTTGGCGTGAAAGGTGGTGCCTTGGTTTTATCAGGGAAAGATAAATAAATGCATGACTAAAAAGTCAATGTGACCCAGGGGACGCGTTCCAATGTTATTCTATGGATCTTATGTACCAGAATATTTCTTAGAATGTGTTTGATTGTCATTTTATTCTTTTGGAAAAGCTTTATATTTATTTCTATTTTCATCTCAGTACTTTTTTTTATTGGTGAGATATTTCCGGGTTAATTTTTTTCATTTTGATTGTAATTTGATAAACATTTTGCCTTTTCATTTTCGCTGGGAAAGACATGATTTTTAGTGGTTTGTGTGGAGCATATTTCACTTTATCCGATGCTGTGGCATCATTTTGGATATTTTCACGCATAAATTATATATTTTAAAACACTATATAAATAAGAAAAATAAGCAACAATTAAAAACAAAAAATACAAGTTTTTCTCACGTTGTTTTGACTCGCTCAGAGCAATTTTCTTAATCAGAAAAACAGTTGTGCGGTTGTGAAACGAACTGTGTTCTTTTTGTCGAGCTTATCAAACATACTTTCTTTCTTGTTGGTACAAAAACATTTAGTTGGGATATTTTCCAACAATATTTTTACACATTTATAGCATATGAAAAATAGTTGTTTAACCATGTGCATGACAATTTTTGTGGGACTTAACCGTAAGGGAGCACAAAAGTACTGCCTGCTGTGGTTTTAAAACAATAATATTTACATGTAAGTAGTGAAAATATCTTAAACTTAGAAATATACCAATTAATCAGACAATAACCCATATATATATATATATATATATATATATATATATATATATATATATATATATATATATATATATATATATATATATATATTTTTTTTTTTTTTTTTTTTTTTCAGTTATTAAGAGTTACTTTAGCCCGTAGTATTAGGTACTATGCGGAAACAAGTTCCATAAACGTTATCCATTTAATCATAATGTTCAGGAGTCAAAAACGCAACAGATAAAGCTAATGAGGCTAATAATAATGTCTCTCATCTTAAAGTTATAATAATTATATCAATAATATCAATATTAACAAAATCGGCAAACATGTACTCTTAATATACACTTCCAATCGTGAAAAAAGTTTGGATTTACAAATGTAGCTAAATAGACGAAAAACAAAGAAATTCCATTTACTTTCAGGCCCCAAAGCTATACTAATTACTTGATTACCACATTAAAATTATATTAAATGAAGGGCAGGGCCAAACTAGAAAATAATAAACTTCTTGACTGAAAAAAAAACATTAATAAAACTATATTTTTGAACAATCTGGTTTTTCTTAGTCAATAGCACCTGGAGGCAGACCTATACCGAAGCGAGAGAAAAACATTCGTGTCCTTGCTTTTTGATAACTTACCAGAGAGCACGCGATCGAGCGAAGCACCATAGTTTGATATTGACTGTCTTTATAGGATCGTCTGGCAATTCAAGCTTTCTGCCGTGAAATCAAAGCACGAAGTATTCGTTTGAATGCAACTTTAGCTAAGTTCGCTTGACGTCAAAGCGTTGTTGATTTGGAATCCCTTCTTTAAGATTTTCTGGGTTTATCAGGTGTCTTTCTTACGTGTCTGATGCCTCCTTGTCGCAGTGAAACTTAAATTTAGCAATCCCAAGAATGGTACTACATCCAGCATTAGTGCATCTAGTTCTGTTACAATTTCGGTCAGTATATTTTGCAATTCTATTTCAGCTTATTTTACGGTATTTGTCCATTTCCAGCCAAACTTTTTGTAACCCTACACATTGCACTCAACCCGTTGATCTGGAAAGGGATTCACCGACAATTCTCTCGCCTCTCGTGCTTTCGGGTTACCAGTACAGTGACCAACGTAGAACGACTCGAACATCAGTCGATATCTGATCAATCGCCCGCT